AGACCAACCACGCTCTTGGGGTGCTGTTACCTCAAATGATGGGAACATTGCACTTTGTATATTTCAGCAGACTGAAAAATCTGCTGAAACAGTAGGTGATAGTCTGTTCTTATTAAAAGACTGCATGCAATATTGTCAGTGATGTCATCTGGATTTGATATTGAATCTAAAAAATATTTTTTTGAGGCTGCAGAATTGTATACACATGGTATCTTATTTCAAAGACTTTGCATAAAGTTCTGATTCATGGACATCTAGTGGTAGATTTTTTAGCATGCCTCTTGGCATGTTGTCTGAGAAAGCACAAGAAACCGTAAATAAGTACTTTTAAAAATACAAGGAGCGCTTTACTAAAAAATGTGACAGAAAAAAAACTAGTTTGGACGTGTTTCATCGCCTTTTGTGCAATTCAGATCTTTTTATTGCTAAATACTGTAAAACAAACGGTTCCAAAAAAGTTATTTTGTTTTTGGCTGTAAATTTGCCATTTAAAGCCAATATAGTTTTTTATTACTATGCATAGTAATAATAAAAATTCTACTCTCTAATGTTACTAAATTATTGCAAGAATATAGAGTAGTATTCTTTAGGTAAAAAAAAACTTAAATAATATCCTTGTTGCTAAATTTATTGCTCGCCGCGGAATTTTTTTATAGAGGAAAAAAATTGAGTTTTAAAAAATTATGCAACAAAAGTCAAAGTTTTTTTAAAACTAAAATTTTTTTGTTGCATATGTTGTTTTTCAGTATAATAAACCGTTTGTAATAAAAAAAATTAATTAAATATTTTTAGGGGTTTTGGCTGAAAAATTTCACTTTTCACCCACAGTCCAATGAATGTAGACTCCATTGCAAAATCATCAAAAAATAAAACAACTTTGATTTCTTTTAATCTGATGTTTAATCCTTTTAGTCTGATGATTGAGTTATAATTCGCCTGTTTAATATTTGGTTCAAAAGAAAATATTTGAATTTGTTTAGCTTAGTTTAAATAATATCGATGCTTGAGAAAGAAGTTTTTTATAAATAATAAAATTTTAAATGGAAATGTATTAAATTAAAATAAAAAGTATATGATTGTGTTTTTTATTTTAGTTGTTGTTGTTGTTTTTGTTATTGTTGTTGTTGTTGTTTTTGTTGTTGTTGTTGTTTTTGTTGTTGGTGTTGGTGTTGTTGTTGCTGTTGTTGTTGTTTTTGTTATTGTTGGTGGTGTTGTTGTTGCTGTTGTTGTTGCTGTGGTTGTTGTTGTTTTTTACATCAAACTATTTACTTTGATTTGCAGTCATTTAATAATAAAAAAATAGTTTATTTCAATTCAAAACTTAAAAAAAAACAATTCATGTTGGCAGATAAAAAAACTTGAAAAAAACTGTTAAAAGACTTAAAGGAAAAGGCTATTTAAAGTGCAAAATGAAGGCAAACGCTATTTAAAAGTGCAAATGCAAAAATTTTATGGATTTGCTGTTAGACAAAATGCAAAGGTATAGGTAAGCACAATAAAGGTAAACAGAAAGAAAAAAATGGGATATTAAATGGGATATTAAAATGGGATATTAAAAACTTTATTTTAAAAAAAAAAGTATTGAGATGTTAATGACACTATTGAGTATTTATATATAATATTTTATTTATATATGTTTATATATTTTGTATTTAAACGATTATATATAAAAACACGATTTTGCCCTAGTACATAAGTACTCTTCAACCCCTCCTTTTTTTTAGGTTTTTATTGAAGGCCTCGCAAACTAAGCTCGCGTCAGGGCTCGCGCTTGCTCGAGCCGGCACTGTTTTTTGGTTAAAATAATTTTTATTTTAAAAATTATTAGCAGTCTCAAACTTCAAGTTAAAATAAATAAAAAAAAAAAAAAAAGTAGTATAAAACTCACCCATTTAATATTTGTTTATTTCGTATATAATATTTCCTTATTTCATGCAAACAATAAAAGTTGTTTTATATATACTATTTTTCTATTTAGGTTTAAAATATGTCTTTACAACTAGATTCAGTTGACAACTTAAGATTAGGAGAAACGTCATCATTTCTGCCTTTCAAAAAAGATCATATTGGTTTTCAACGATGGATTATGTTACTTATCTATTCGCTTAACAGCATAGTAATTGGATTTTTATATATAGGAATAAGTCCAAAAAGTGTTATCTCTAAAAATTATTATAAAATAAGTGACCTAAATATTCAGTTAATAAATAATCTCTTTTTCGTTATGTACATTACAACTGCAATGCCTTTATCCTATTTGGTGTTTAGAATAGGATTAAGACCTGTGTTGGTTCTGGCGTCCGCTTTAAATGCTTTAGGTACTGCTTTTCATTTAGCCGGCTTTGGTCGAAACGGTTTTAACTTCTTCATTATTGGTCAAATTTTTGCAGGTATTGGTACCAGCGCTATTTTGCAAATGCCCAATCAGCTATCGTCGCAATGGTTTCCAAGCAACGAACGAGGAAAATCTACAGCTATTGGTTTTTTGATGAATTTGGTTGGGGGATCATTTGGTTTTCTGCAAAATACATTTATGATTACAGAATATAATAATTTTTATAAGCTCAATAATCAATTTCTAATGTTTTATTTTACACGATTTGTGTTTGTCATTATTACGTCTTTATTTACGTTGATATTTTTTAAGAATGCTCCTCGATTGCATAACTATCAATATCATGCCTCGTCAGCACAAAATTTTGTTAAAAAAGAAAAATTCCGAAATTATCTCTCAATGCTTCTGACAGACCAACACTTTCTAGTTATGTCACAATCATTTTCAATTTATTTTGGACTAATTGCAGCAATACCTTTGTATTTGGATTTATTCGTGGCCAAATACAAAAATAGCTTTTCTGAAAATGTTGGTTGGATGGGCTTGTTTAACTTTATCTGTGGAGTTATTGGTTGTTTGGTTTTTGGTATAATATTGGATAAATTGAAAAAATTTCGAGCATTATCAATTGTTTCTAATTTTACTTCTATGATAACGTGGTTAGGATTTATCCTGATATTGAGAAAGACAGATAGTTTTTTTGGACCATTTATAATGTTTTTAATCTATGGATTTTTTGCTTATCCTTATATAACCATTGGACTCGAGCAATCCGCAGAAATGACATTTCCAGTTCCAGAGGAGTTTTCAAGCTCATTTATACTCATTATTGGTAATTTTTATGCTTTAATTTTTGGTCTTATATTTGGAGTTTTTAATCATTTTGGTTTAATTGAAGTTGTTCCTTATATTATAACAGGTTTTTATCTTTTGAGTACATTGCTAACTAGTTTAGTTAAAACTTATTTAAAGAGAAGTGTTGCTGATGTTTTTTCTACACTTAACTATAATTAAGTTTATTTATGCAGTATTATTGTATTTTTAAACAAAGTAAAAATTAATTGGTTGTGACAGTTAAAAAATCTTTTTTGAACTTTTTTTACTTTATAAAAAAAAGGAATATAATTTTAGAATTTCAACATGTATGAAAAATATTGTGCAATGTGTGTTTAATTTTTAAATAATTCTAGAAGTTTGCAATTAATAAAACTTCCCTAGCCAGCAATAGCTAGCTAGTCGCTGCTTAAAAGACGCGTTTAAGACAAATAAAACACTTAGTATTACGTATTCTAGACGTTTTAAACACGTCTTTGTCATCTAGCTAACTTTTTTCCACCGGTTTTAGTTACTGATAGTAAACTTTAATTAAAGATTTGATTAACAAAAATTTTTATGACAATCAGAGTATCACATGATTCAAACCAGCCCTTGTTTTGTGAAATACATAAAAACATTATCAACGAAATTATGCTCAAAATACTAAACTTAATCTAAATTATATATATTTATATATATATTTATATATTATATTACAAACACACACACTCATGACGTTTATTACTTTTTGAAAACCTAAATTAAGGAGATATTGGGTCTCGAAACACGGCCCACTTTGTAAAAATATTTTTGCATCGAGTACAATTGCTACTTTAAAGGGCAATATTAGAAACATGAATTTGAGAGACCCTTTCATTTTTTATTTTTCAGTACATTTTTTTTACAGGAGAAGTTTAAAACTTTATATATTTTTTATTTTAACTGATTATGGGTTCATTTTAGTATAAAGAGTATTATTCATGTTTTTTGTAATCTTAACAATAAATATTTGGTGTTAAAATTATTAATATCCAAGTATAGTAGCCAATACTAGTTACGCGGATTCGCACTGTCCCCGACGTTATAGGGGAGACCGGGGCTAGTTGGCAGCAGGGGTAAGTTGACGAATTGCGTTTATCTGCAAAGTCTTTCATCAAAAAGTGCCAATAATTTCAGGAAACCTTCTTAGTTGACCATTTCATCTTTCACTGTAGTATTGTGGGGATTTGCGCATGCGCATAAAAGATATTGTGATTTATGTGTTTTTTCCACATTTTTGTAACTTTTACAACTTCTTTATTTTTTCGATTTTTAAAAGCAATTTCATCAAGTACAAGTAAACTTGATTGGAGTTATATCTTGCATGGTTCAGTAAAATCTGTCCAACCATTATTTTTTATTTATATACGTTTTTCAGGGATCAGTAGGGGAGTTTGTGACCAAATAGCTGTCGGGGTTAGTTGGCAAAATTTTGGCGGGGCAAGTTGGCCGTATATATCAACTAAACCCGGTTGCGATTGGACATAAATTTTAACTTTTTCTATAAATTTTGATTTATTTTTTTAAAAATCGATCAGATAGATCACATATATTACATGCGAAACTATAAAAGAAAAACAAAAAGGGCTATAACTCCTCAAAATGTTATAAAAAATGCTGTTGATGCTGTTTTATTAGAAGGAAAATCTATACGAAAAACAGCCAAAGACTTTAATATCCCTGAAAAAAGTTTGTCCCGATACTGCAAAAAGCAACAACGTCATAGTCAGCAAATATCAGGTTACATAAAATCTAGACAGGTCAGTATATATATATATATATATATATATATATATATATATATATATATATATATATATATATATATATATATATATATATATATATATATATATATATATATATATATATATATATATATATATATATATATATATATATATATATATATACATATATATATATAAACTTAATATGTTTTGTATAGTAATTATTATCTCATATATAAGATTTATATATATATATATATATATATATATATATATATATATATATATATATATATATATATTATATATATATATATATATATATATATATATATTTATATATATATATATATATATATATTTATATATATATATATATATTTATATATTTATATATATATATATTTATATATATATATATTTATATATATATATATATATATATATATATATATATATATATATATATATATATATATATATATATATATATATATATGTGTATATATATATATATGTATATATATATATATATATATATATATATATATATTTACAAATAAAGTTCTCAATGATCTTAAAAAACATATAAGTTATATTTTATAACTGTGTATTAGTATGTGTTATAACACATACTAATACAATGTGTGTGTGTGTATAACACATACTAATATATATTAGTATGTGTTATGCACACACACACATATATATATGTGTGTTATATAACACACACACACACACACACACACACACACACACACACACACACACACACACACATATATATATATATAGTGTTATTTGTTTTAATATTGATATTGTTCATTTAGGTCTTTACTGATTTACAAGAAGGTCTGTTGGAATAATATGTGACTAAAGCTTCTGATATTTATTATGGACTTTCTCCTAAGGAAGTGAGGAAACTAGCTTATCAGTATGGAAAAGCGAATAGCATAAAAATGCCTCATAATTGGAGTGCAAATGAAGCAGCTGGAGAAGACTGGTTCAGTGCTTACCTCAAAAGGCACAAAAAACTGTCAATAAGAAAACCTGAGGCAACAAGTCAAGCACGTGTTTCCAGTTTTAATCCAACAAATGTTCAAAAGTTTTACAACAATTTACAAACTATTCTTAATCGTTTAAAGTTGGAAAATGGAGATATTTGGAATATGGATGAAACTGGTATTACCACAGTTCAAACTCCAGATCATATTGTAGCAAGAAAGGGTTTTAAACAAATTGGGCGTGTTACTTCGGCTGAGAGAGGCAATTTAGTAACTGTGGCAGTTGCTGTTTCTGCCAGTGGAAATTCAATTCCTCCATTTTTCATATTTCCTCGTGTGAAATTTAAAAGCTATTTTTTAAATGGTGCTCCTGATGGAAGTGCAGGCGCTGCAAACCCATCTGGTTGGATGACTGAAGTTCAATTTTTGCAGTTTTCCCATCATTTTGTCAAATATGCCAGAAGTACAAAAGAACGACCTGTTTTGTTGCTATTAGACAATCATGACTCTCATCTTTCAGTAGAGGCTTTAGATTACTTTAAAGAAAATGGGGTATCGGTTTGTTCATTTCCTCCTCATTGCAGCCATAAACTTCAACCTCTAGATCGAAGTGTATTTGGACCTTTTAAAAAATACACAAACACAGCTTGCGATGCGTGGATGACAATGCACCCTGGTTCCACAATGTCTATTTACAGTTTACCAGGTATTGTGGGTAACTCATTTCCATTAGCATGTACCCCTAATAATATCAAGGCTGGTTTTGCAAAAACAGGAATTTACCCACTAAATGTTAACATTTTTGGTGAACACGATTTTATGCCAGCCTATACCACAGATAGACCACCTCCGAAACAAGACTGTGCTGTGGAAAGTACAGTGCTAAATATAAGTAATGTAATGGATGTTGACTTTACAATATCTGAGAATGACATGTTAAATGCTGGTTGCTCAAAAGATATAAAACCACGTCAAGATATTTCATATTCAAGCAGTAATGATGAACACAGTGCATCTACAGAGTCAACTGTAGTTCTATCGCCTGAAGATTTAAGACCATTCAAAAAAGCTGAACAAAGAAAAAGAGTTAGGGCTAATAAAAGAAGTAGAACCACATCAATTTTAACAGATTCACCAAATATGAATGTTTTAAAAATAGAGAAAGAATCAGCTAAAAAGAAAAAGTTAGCAATTGAAGAGAGAAAACAAGCAAAAAAGTTAAACGAAGATAATATTAAGATGAGTAAAAGATCAAATAGTAAAGGAAGTTTACACTTAATGGAGAAAAGTTTGAATTGTCCAAATAGCTCTGTTGTAGAGGAGTGTTTTTGTTTGGTTTGTGTTGGAATGTTTTCTAAAAGTAAAGCAGGGGAAGTTTGGGTTCAATGCACCCAATGTCACCTTTGGGCTCACGAGTCATGTATAATCGGAAAATCTTTGTTTTTCATTTGCAATAATTGCTGCTAGCCGATTTGAAACTCCATTAGTTAAAAATATTCATGTAATAAAACAATATAAGTTTTAATTCTTATTGTATAACCATAAATTGGGAACACTGTTTTGTTTTGTCACTGTATTTTTTAATTATATTTACTTTCTATTGCTTAAAATGTTACAATGACTTGATCCAAAAGTTTGATGGTATTGATAAAAGTATATTTCTGCTATGATTCCTTTAAAAAAAAGGGGCTTGGGGTAAAAATATTATTGAAATACACTTAAATAGGACCTTTAACTTTAGCTTTTATTATTGCGAGTCAACTTACCCCTTGAGTATAAGCAACTTACCCCATGGTGGGGTAAGTTGGCGCAATTTTTTTTTTTTTTTTGAGGGCCCAGAAAGGCCCCACAATATTTTTTTTGTAAATGAATACAACTTTTATAAGTTACCCAAATTCATACTCTTTGAAATTACACTTTTATGTTTTCAAAAAAATGTTTCGTTAGGACTACAGAACTCATAGAGTAAAAACCGAGTCAACTAGACCCGGTCTCCCCTACATTTCATGGTAGACCTAAGACCGCGATTGTTATGAGTAATCTAACAAAGCGCATTAAAAGCAAAAATCCATTTAAGGCAGCCTACTTTTTCCCATACTCTTGCATACACATATTTTTTTTTTTGTATTTTCAATAGTAAAAAGGAAAATTCAATATAGTTACATTTTTTGTCTAGAAATATCGGTTAAAAACCAATAAATTTGATATTTTACACGTATTTTTAGCATTATCTCCTAAGGAAATAACTTGCACGCAAATTTCTTAATTTTTTTTTAAAACCATAAAGACATAAGATTTTAGACCTGCTGGTGAATCTGCTCATTTTTTTCCCACGTTCTTCTCCAGATATAAACATCTGCATTAACAATGTTTTTTGCTTTGAAGAATATCCGAACACTTTTTTTCTTGGTAATGTCTATCATAATGTCATTGATGTTTATGACGTTTTTAATCCCTTCTTTAATGACAGAACGGGATAATAGCAGATCAGTCAGAAGAATTTTGTTAGAAAATTTCATTTTGTTAATACATATAGTATATATTTTTTGTTAATACATATAATATATAAACAATAGTCTTAGGTCCTGATAAAATAATGGGTTTTAGTCTTACTACAGCAACATCAGTACATTAAAATCCTTAACCATTATGAAGAGTCTCATAAAGATTTTTTGTTGTCAATAATTTGTTAACACAACTTGCTTCTGCTGACTCTCTATCACATTGATGTTTTTCACGTAAAGGCACTCTGTAATCATGTCATTTAGGGAAAAAATGTTTTGCTTTGCAAATTTTGTAAAAGAGCTTTTAGGAAGATGTTTTCATGATAAGATTATGCATTATCTGACTTATAATGATTTTCCTTGTTTAAAAAATCTTTAGCAAAATGATTTTTTAAACAAGGAAAACCATTTTTTAATTTTGGCTAATATAATAAAAGCGTGAGAAAGTACATTATCAATGGTTTCCTCACATCTATATACAGCTGTAAAATAGACATCTATATACAGCTGTAAAATAGACGGTTTTTTGCAATAGGCCATTTACATTAAGAAGTAAACATCAACATTAATACAAATATCAATCATATTAAATATATATATATATATATATATATATATATATATATATATATATATATATATATATATATATATATATATATATATATATATATATATATATAATATTATATTTATTATATTTCTCCTTTACTTTAGGTATTGCATTACTTGCCATCACATTACTTGAACCTAGTATTAGTAGTAGTACTAGTTTATGCTGTGACTGGTATTGCTACCAGTGAGTATGGTTTTAAAGTACACTATGACAGCTGAGCCTTGTGATGATTTGACTCCCATTAATCGAGTATTGCTTTGAATGAATTTACTGAATTAGCTTTAACAACATTTTCTTGCTTATATTCCATTGCCTCCATGGTTTCGAAATATTGGCTGTGTATTGAAAAAAAAAAGTGTATTGGAGAATTTTTCAGCCTATATAAAAAACTATGTTGAAGAAAATAGTTTGTCAAATGGTTTAATAACTGAACTCAATGAAATAAAATACAACAAACCAGTTGATCAGCCAAAGTTTTCATCAAATCTTTTACGATATTCCCTTATTCTTCGATATACTTAAGTGCAGGCTTATAAAATCTTATTAGAACAGTTTACTCTACCATCATTTAGTCTTTTGAAAAAAATTAGTAAAGGTGGGGTAGAACCATTAAAATCTATAAAATGTTTATTAATCTAAGATAAAATTGATGTTGTGAAGATGTTGTGCTACTGATGGATGAAATATATTTGCAGAAAGAAGCGCAATATCAAGGAGGTAGAATGATAGGAGTAGATAATAAGGGAATTTTATATAAAGGTGTAATGACCTTCATGATTGCTACTTTGAAAAAAAGGTTAATTTTGTTATAAAAGCTATACCAGAAATAAAAATTGAGGGTAAGTCGCTAGCTGACCATGTTGATGAGTGCATTACATCTCTACAAGAGAATGGTTTTCATGTTCGTGGTGTAATTCTAATAATGTTTTTGCTTTTTCACATTTGATGCAAAAATATAAAATACCAACCATGTTAGTAGTATTACTCATCCTACAAAAAAAGATAGTAGATATATTTATTTTTTGATGCTGCTCATTTTCTAAAAAAACATACAAAACAATTTACTGAATTCTAAACGTTTTATATTCCCTGCTTTCAGTGCCGTGGCAAGTGGATCTGCCCCCCCCCCCCCCGCTTTCAGTGCCGTGGCAAGTGGGTCTGGGGTTCCCCTAAAACTTGTCATTAGGCTCCCAATTTTTTTTTTAATGAATAAAATTTACAGATTACTTCGAAACATCTGGCTGCCTAATATATTTTAAAGTCGCCGTTCATAAGACTAAAAACAATCAAACTAACGCTTAAATTCAATTAGATATTTTTTATAATTGTTAAATTGATACAGAGTTTACTAGTCTAGAGTTTCTTTAACTAATGTAAATGTATTACACAGATAATACAAGTCGCAAATCGTCAAAAAAAGGGTTTGCGACGTGTTTTCATGCTTGCAAACTCATTTATTATGCCCTCATAATTTAATTTTCTTGCAACCTCGTTTTCAACTGACAGCATTGCTAAGGAAGACAAACGTTCATCGACCATTGTTGACCTATTTAAAGATACAATGAAATATAGCTACATGTATTTATGTATAATTAAGCAAGATTATTTATACTAACCTAAGAAATATTTTAATTAGTTTTAACTTGCTGAAGATACGTTCTGCACTTGCAACAGTGACTGGTAAAGTAAGAATGATTCGTAACGCAATAACTAGATTGGGATTTTAGAAAAGCATTTTTTTCCTCCTTTATAACAATCACAAATCGTTTTAACTCCATTTCTAAATCCTCAGAATCTATATCATCAAGCTTTATTTGCAAACTTTTGCAATATACAGACAGAGAATTTTCATTGCAAGCTTTGATAAGACTCTCGGATCGGTAAAAAAAGTCAAAAAGCTTTGTGACAATGCTGATCTGTTCAAAACGCTTTTTTACTGATGCAATTGACATATCAGTTAGTGGCAAAAAGAAATCTGCTTTATACTGATGTTCAGGTTGCTGAGTGTGATCAACACACTCGTATGAATAAATTGATTTTTTTTTTCGTGAATGCACAATTGGAAAAACCCTTTCAATGCCCAATAATTCTGCGAATTCCGCCTTAATACATGCGTCAGAAAATCCATTTTCACAATACTCATAAAGAAAATGCATTTGTTGCCTTTATTTTCCAAGCTAAGATGTCGAGAGATATTGCATTAGGCTGAAGCAGCTTACTTGATTTGTTGATTTAAAATAAAACATCATACCAAATAATGATTGATAGTAAAAAAGGCCATGTTCTAATATATTTTGTCAGTGATCATACTTCTGCGGCTGTTGCCCCATCTATCTTTTCTAAGGCATATTCTTCTAACCTTTCAAGTGCCTCTAAGATTTCTTTTAAATAATACTTTCCCATCTGGTATCTGATTGTGGTTTGACAGAAATTGCTGTGTACGATTTTAAAATTTCCCATCAAGGAGGAGACGATAAAAAGAGTGTATATAACCTTGAAAGAACACCAAAAAAAGAAATTGCATTGATGGATGACAGTGCACCATCAACAGTAGCAATATTGAGTGAATGGTTTGCACAAGAAACATATAAGGCCTTAGGATTCATTTCCAGAAACCTTGCTTGAACATCTTTTACTTTTCCTTTCATATTAGCACCATTATCATAAGATTGACCTCTAAAATATTTGAATGCCAATCTTTTGCTTTATTTAAAAATGCATCAATGGTTGTTTCTGAACCACGGAATGCAAGATTTCTTGCAGAAAGGAATAAGGTAATGTCAAGTATTCTTTCTAACACAGCTCTCCAAAATGTCCGCTCTTATGAAGCAACTTTTGTTGTTGCTCTTCTATGGTAGCTTGATTTGCTATACCTGCATTACCAAAATTGAGGAAAAAAAGTTAAATGAGAATAAAAAAAGTAACAAAACAATAAACTAAAAGAAATATCAGTTAACCTTTTTGCAAAGTCATGCATTGTTCAAAGCACTTAAAATGTGCATTGCATGTTTCGTGTTCTTTAAGTTTTTTGGTAAGCCTTCCCAAGTGTTCATTCCTTGTCGGAATGGTGAAGAAGTTGTCCCAAATAGTTTGCAACAAAACAAAACACTTTATTGCTATTCAAAGAATATATGAGCCATTCCCGTTCAAAAATTTCTCTATTCTTTATCTTGCGATTATAATAATTTATTGAAAATCATCTTCTTTCTAAAAACAATGCATGACTTTACAAAAAGGTTAACTGATATTTCTTTTGAAAAATCAATTTCAATTTTTTTGAAACCCCGTTTAAAAATGTCACACCTCTGTGCGTCAGAAACATTATCTGGCTACTCAGAAGGATCATCACTGCGAAAAATAGGCAGAATTGTTATGCCATTTGATGTAGACTCGCATTTCAACCAATCTGACTCTACTCTAGTATTTAAATAATGACAATCAGAATTATTTGTAGTT